CATCATTCAGAAATATGAAATGCCACCTAATACACCTAATGATGAAATACTCTGAGAAACAGTAAAAGCAGAGACGAGACAGTCAGGCTGCTGTTTGATTTGTACATTTAGCGTATTTTAAGGTACTATAGATAACTCATTTAACCTATGTCAAATTATGTTTATTTTACATAAGTAATTTTTTGCATATCTTTTACATGAGATGCCATAAGGTCTGAATTTGTTAGCAATCTTGATCGTTCATTGTTGCTGATCAGAGTCACGCAGTGCTACAAACTTTCTGTGACACTTCTTGCTGTGTTCATTTCATATTTATCACTTTCTTATCCTTATATAAACAGATGAGGTGGGAAGAATATGATTATTTTCCACACATTTAAAATTTAGGAAACTCAAGTAAAATGACTTTCCTTGGATGCCACAATGAACTCACTATCCAGTTGGAACTAGAACTGAAGTTCAATGAACATTGCAATGAACTCCATCAAGATAATCACCTCATTGGTACTCAGGTAAATCAAATTCTTTCTTTTAAAGCCCTCTGCACCTTAAACACATTGACAAATGTATTATAATTATTTATTAAAATATTAGAAGTGGGCCATCTCTATTTCCGGAAAATTTTAATTATAAACAGTCTGGGAAAATGGACATTTAGAAAACAAATTTGATGGTGAATCTGTGAAAAGTGCACAGGAAATACCATGTTCAAAGGCTTGGCATCCAGAGCAAAAAGGAAAGCATGTGTGATATGTCTTTATTTTTTATTAAGTGAAAGTGTCCACAGTTGTCCACAGGGACACAGTTTTTCTGGAACTAACCCTAAAGAGAAATTCATAATGAGTCATAAGCACAACCGAACAGGGCAGTTTCTATTATCTGAGCCTGTATTTGGGGAACAGTGGGGAGTGATTCGTATGGCATGTTTGGCAAGATATTTTTAAAATCTTTCTAAAGCCTAGATTAGGGAAAAAGGAAGAAGATAAAAGATTCTGTGACTATGTGCAGCGGTGAGTCTCATATTCAACTTCCCAAACATCAATAAAGCAAAGTGGTCTGTAAGCCTAGACAAGAGCTGGTCGAAATAGCTTGGAAGTGTCTCATATTCTTCACAGCCCAGCTCTATTTTCCCATTGCAGGTGGCTCCACCACAGCCTTGCTGAATGCTCTGTGTGGGACCCTGTGTGGTGGAGGTCGGGGAACAGGTGACTCTAAAGCAGGCAATGGGAATGCAGAGGTGGGGCTCGCCTTGCAGGGCTCTGGCTCAGTGTACTGTGGTCCAGGGCAAATTGCTCTCCTGCAGCATGTGGCTCTAACAGATGCTAGCTGACAACATCTCTGAGGTCACAGGCTTGAAGCCTTAAAGGAACAAACATGGGAAATAGAGAAACAAAGCAAAATACTCTGCCTTGCTGTAGACATACACAGGAATGTGCATTTGAATATTTCTGTTTCTTTTCTTTTTCCCCCCATGCGTGACAATGTGAAGAAAATTATAAGTTTGAATTGTGGTCTTTTTTAAGTGCTGGTAAATCCTACCTAAATACATCAGGGGTCTTCTGCACTGTTTTGTAAATTACTTTTATTTGGTACACAGCCTTGCCTGTTTGTTTTGCGTATTGCCTAAGGCTGCTTTCCTGCTACAGTCACCACGTTGAGTAGCTGAGACAGAGACTAACTAAGAAACAGGAAAGATACATCAGGTTACAGCTTCTGAGAGGCCTTCTATGATTCAGAAGCAAAAGATCTTCAGAATTACTCCTTCCTTCAGAGTCAGCACAACCAGAACAAGTTAGAGAAAAATTAAATTCGAGAATGAAGAGATAGGTTCCAAACTAGGCTATTTCTCTGTGTCAACTATCAAACTGATTTCTGTTGCCTTTTGCATTAGTCCAGGTGGAGTGGGCACTTTTAGCCACAGTCTTCTTTTCTCTTATTACCTACTTCTCATTAAAAAACCAAAATGGACATTCATCTTCTTCATTGGTTCCCAAACCTCAGCTATTTTGCTTTCCTCTTAAAATTAATTTTTACACAAAGACTCTCATACCAGGCCTTGGTTTGGCCATTACGTAATATAACCCCAATGGGTTAAACATTCATTCCCATGAAGCTGATTTGCTCAGTTTCATAGGTGGGTGCGTGGGCAGGATTGACAGTCCATGGAGCTTGGAGAACAGAAACAATCTCAGATAACAAGAATCAAAGCTTTAGGAGTGTTTGCTGTTATTTTGTTTTGTTTTGTGATTATCCAGAGGAGATTTTTGAATGGCATTTATAATTCTCTGGTTGCTGTTACCTGTATTGCAGGCTGTTGAATTATCTAAATTCTCAGAAGTTAAGAGACAGAAGAAGGAATTCAGCTGCAAGAGGATCCAAAGAGAAGACCAAAGGAGAAAGATGGGTTGAGTTGGTAAAAATTAGCCACAACTCAACTCTAACAGAGTTGTGGTNAAAGGAGAAAGATAGGTTGAGTTGGTAAAAATTAGCCACAACTCAACTCTAACAGAGTTGTGGTACACACAGAACTTAAATATGAAGAGATTGAAACTCAGAGATGTTAAATGGCTTGAAGAAGGTTCATAATTAGTTCATGGTGTGGCTAATTCATTGCTCCCGATTAGTCAATCTCTGGTATGCCCACACCTGGACCATGAGACACAGTGAATTAATCTGATAATTGAAGTCCTCCCTACTAACTTGAACAAAATATTGGCTACAGCTTTTCCTTTTCAGTGGGTTATTAATAATGAAATGCTTCAACTAAATGTAAGCATCAGAGTATAGGTAATAAGATAACCACATTAAAATAAAGCAATTTCACATTCTTTGAAATATAGTGCTTTTGGCAGTTCCACTTTTATATGGAGTATGTGACAGTGAACCTGTCTTTGTTCTTGATAAGATGTTTCTATGGGTTGTGTGGAGGTGGTTGATTTGATGAACACCTTGAGACTACTCAGAAAATTCAAATGACATAACCAGGTTTCTCTTGTGTGTTTTATACCTTTGCTAATTTATTTCTGAATTCCTGTGTTTTATAACTCAATTTGTGTAGCTTCTCTGGGGATGAAGGCAGGTAGTTCAGATTCTCTGACTTTAATCTGCCGTGATGCAAATAAATGCTAATACTGAATATATGTCAAAATAGTGACGTTCTAACAAATTAGAAAGCATATCACACTTTAATAATATAACTCTCAAAAAATATTCAGATATAATCTATGTGCTTGCTATGGTGAGTTTTTCTTTCAGTAACAAACATATTTAATTTTGTTTTAAGACTACAGTGATACCTCCAAATCTTAGGATAACATTTTTGCTTTTGATGTCGCTAACCCAGGCTTTGAGTCACTTTAAAGGGCTTTTACAGGAGTCTCTCCGGGTTTGCTGAGTGCCTGCCAGGAAACTTATAGCAGCACAACCTGAGCTGCCTAAGCCTGTTCACTCCAATCCTGGAAACTCTAAGGATGTTAGAATTCTCGGGCCAGCCGGGAACTCGCTAGACCCGTAGGCGCTGGCCTTGATCTGGTGGGAAGGAAGGTGGTAGCAAAATCCATCTTAAAGTATTTGGTCTGTGGCTGATTTTATCTTTATGCTAACCTCAGTTCACCGCTGCCTGCTGCTGGATTTCGAGCGCGGTGAGGTTGCACCTGGCTTCAGGGGAGCCCTGTGAATGAAAAGCAAAGCCTCTCCTCCAGACAGCAGCCCACAGCACCGTGCTGGTCATTCCCTGTCTCCACAATCAAAATGTGAGAGGCCACGGACAGCATTTTGCCCGCACCTCTTGGTGGCTAAATGCATATTATTTTACTATTTTATAATGAAAATAGTTTATCATCAATGCGGGCTGTTCTCATTAACCATGAATACTGATTAACTACTAAGTGTCTGAATCATAAATGATTGGTTTTCAAAGGCAAAGAAAAATATATGGCTTTCCTTATTTCTTAATTATTAAAAAGAAACATTAGAGCCCGGCTGGGTGTGGCTCAGAGGTTGAGCATTGAACTGTGATCCAGGAGATTACTGTTCGATTCCCCGTCCGGGCACAGGCCCGGGTTGCGGCCTCCATCCCCAAGAGCGGGCGCGCCGGAGGCAGCCGATCAATGACTCTCTCATTGATGTGTCTGTCTATCTCTCTCCCTCTTCCTTCCTCTCTCTGAAATTGATAAAGATATTTTTTTTAAAAAAAAGAGAAAGAAACATTATAATTTACAGGTAATATTTAAGAACATCAGTCTTCATTTTACCATAAATGTGATTATACTGGCCTATTCATAATGCTGCTTCATAGAATGTAAGAGAAGCTAATTAGTCCTGGAACATTTTAATTTAAAGTTTTAATGTTTCATTTAGTTTAAAACAGAAATTTTGAGAAATTAAAGATTGGTAAATTAAATACTTTGTTCAATTTTTTTTCAAATTTATAGACATAAATACATGTTTGATTTTTTCGTTACTTAGGATGATAACAAAATACAAGAAAAAATTTTCCTAATATATGATTCCTTTATCCAAAGTTTCTCTCTCAGTATTACACCTGTGCACATGTACACACACACACACACACACACACACACACACACACTTATATTCTCACATAAAGACTTAGTAGTTTATTGTCACCCATAATATTTCTCTCCCTGAGGCAGGAATAATTGGAAAAGATCAAAGAATGTCTAAAAAGAATCAGCCCACAACAAAATTTAAACTATTAAAATATTAAATGGTTAAAATGTTTTCTCTGGCCATATCCTAAAATTAAGTCATAAGTTTTGTGATGAGTGGATCCCTTTGGTCAGATTTTTCTCTTCCTTAAGAAATATGCTATTAATGCCTCATATGAGCATCAATAAATAAGTAGTCTTGATCTAGTGATGTGTTATTTATCCAGAAAAGAAACACATTTGACTTTCTGGTCAAGGTTCCCTCAGACCCAGAAATTTCATCTCAGTTTCCCCAAACTGAATTTCATATGTAAAGACAACTTTTCTTACCTGCCATCACTCCGTAGGTTGATGGCTGATTTCCGTAATGACAGGAAGGAACAGAGTAATGAAGTCCAGTTGCTGTGTTTCCCAATGTTGTCACCGAGAAATATGTGCACAAACATTTAGAAGTTTGGATCAAAGACAAAATAGACGGGACTGGTAAGAAAATGTACGAGGATTCAAGATACATTCGTTTCATTTCAAAAATACACATTTATGCGTTTCTTAAATTTACATGCCAATTGTTTGTTTTCATTTGGGGGACGTTCCCTGAGTAGCTTAAAACTAGGGGTTAAAGTTTGTCCAGTAATGAGATCATAAATCACCAAAGTGGACAGTAGCCTTCACTGCTCCTCCTTTGCCCTGAGAGGGGGATGACTGACCAGTTTGGACCTTGGCTATTTGAGAGCTGCAGAATTCTTGTAGGTGCCACCCAATACAGACATTGTAACCAGGTGACTAGAGGAACAGGCTCTTAAAAGTATTGTATAATATGGTATTATAAAGTGGCTTTTCTCTGGAAGAATGAATAGAGAAATTGACTCTTGGACCATCTCTATTTTGGTTATTGTTCTAACAGATTTCTTCCATCAGAGAGGAAATGGCAGAGCAACTTGGCCCCTATCGGATACAATCATAAAAATCCCACTAAATTTACAGGTTTGTGCAAACTCCGTGACAATGCAAGGCATGTTTATGATGCTGTTGAAGCTTTGAGGTTGTGGGTTTCTGCGTGCACACAGTGAATTTGACAATTCTAATGCCAAAGCTGGCTAAAAGTAAGTTGATTGTTGAGTGGTGGTGTCTAGAAATGTTGTGCCTAGTATATGAACATAAACTTGTTCATAAATAGTTATCTGCCTCATGGAACCAACATGTATTTTGAAAGTAAATTTAAATTACTAAACTTTGTAAATCAAGCTTTAAACACGAAAAACCAAGAATATTGGCAATAAAAGCACTAGCCAATGTTTTCTCTTGTATTTAATTTCTTATTCTCCTTTATATCCTGAATGTGTAGTCAGCTTTCCATAAATATAATATAAACATATCTTCTTGAACAAATATAAGAGATGTTAAAAAGTAGAGAAAATATTGAGGTACGCTCTAATAAGCCATGAGGTCTCTTCAGAAAAGAAAACATTTTCTCTAACTATAGAACAAGGTTTAATATTTTAAAATATCTGCATAAATTTTCACTTTATAACTGACATGTAGAAAGAATTAAAGTCATTTTACGTAATGATTACACATAAAAACCTTGCTATGCATTCCAAAATTAAACAAATAATACCCAAGTGCTGTTCTTATAACCATTATTTCTAATTCCTTATTTGGATAAGTGATTATGATTTGATGGAAAAAATATAAATTCAATGCTATTATCATTTAAAATGCAGTTAGGTTATTTTTATTCATTATAAATCTTTTTACTTAATAAAATTTAAATTTTATTCCTCTAATTTTTTCCTCTAATTTTGAGAAGTTGGATAAAGGATAGGCTAATTTACTAAATATGTTATTAATTTATTTAAAAATAAATACATTTTAAAAATAAATAAATTGGGTTTTGAGCCTAAACTTGCTAAATCATGACCTCAATTCTAAATTTTATTTTCATTCTGAAATAATATTCACACACATTAGATTAAACAATGTATTTTCTTTTTATCCCTTATTTATAGAAAGATATATTGTAAAAAATATACAATTAGCTATGTGATACTATAAAATTTTTATAGCACATATTTTTGGTTAAAATATTTGTTTGAGTGTACTTCCATTATTACCTTTTAAATTACATTATGAGAATATTAGGTAGTTGAAAAAAAATCTCAAAATTAATGACTTTGCCAAAGTCTAGCTATGTAATCTCTATATTCTTTAAAATCCAGCTGAAGATCAATGCTGAATTTATGTATATATTTGAAATCTGCCTAATTATAAGATAAAGCCTAAATCATTTAAATCAGAACATGAATTTATCAACTCAAATTTTTATTTCTAAACGTATAAAATTTATTTTCTATTTAGATTGCTTCCAAAACAAGTGGAACATGAATATAGCACATTGCTATTTAATGGACGAAATTTACTCAACTCAAGACTTAGTCTATTTATAATTCTTTCAAACACTTCCTTTGTTACTATATAGTTAAAGAATGAATTATGCATTAGCAAAACATACTTATTTGATTGTGTTTAAAACAATATATTTGAATTTCAAAATTTAATTTTCATTTAAGAAAGTTATGTAAAGAAAGTATTAAAACTTGGTTAGAGGTTGAAGTCTCTTCAGAACTCAGCCTTGAAAAAATTTAACTTCATTCTTGGGCTCTAAATATCATATATTGCTTCTAGTTTTTATTTTTGAGTTTTGAATTATGCTAAAAATAAGTTTATTAAAATTATTTAGTTTATTCTTTGAAATCCTTTGTTGTTGGTATTGGGAATCACTTAGTTGTATTTACTGTGAGGTATTTGGCTGGTTTTAGAATAATAGCAAATGTAATCTAAAAACCAAATAGATTTTTAAGTTAAAGAAGTTACACCTTTAAAACACTAAATTATTTTAGACTATTTCTTTAGTTTTGCTGTGTATCCATAAACTTGCCGTTAAAATGATTTCTGGATTAAAAATAGCCAAATTCACTGTTTACTTACATTTAAAAAAAAACACAGATCTTTATCATCAAACCAAAAATAATTTAAATTATTGCACTTGCTAATCTTTCTTGAAAATTTTCTTAGACATTTTGACTTCAATATCCTCAATATTTAACTTTAAAACACATTAAAACGAAAGGAAAACTAAAAAAAGCAAAGAGATGGTAAACTACCAAGATTCAAAGCATCCATTCTGAACTCTTTAGGCCCAGCCAGCAGCAGGCTGGCATTGGAGTCGGTACCTGTGGACATCACATTGGTGGTGTGGTTGGAGACCGGTAGGCACTCGGCAGCGCTGTGGTGCATTAGCAGAGGCAGAGCTGCAGAAGACTCCGAATTAAGAGGTATGAAGGTGTCAGCCGAAGTAAAAGGTTGGCAACTCATTCCCACAGACAGTAGGAAAATTAGGAGAATTGTTGCTCCCAAATCAGAGTTTTATTATATTACTGCCTCAAAGGGCTGCTTCAAATCTCACGACCTGCATATATACATCAGGAAGGCTCTGAAGCACCAAGAGGGCGCGTGCTGGTATTTATACTGCAGGGAAATCCCTTTATACATGTTAATCGTCTTTTCCCAGGGGTATTGCTTTATCAATCTGAACTGCCTTCCTTCTAACTCAAACATAATCCATGCCCAAGAGTAAAGCTGGTTCTGGGTATAGACTGAGGGCAAGGGAGAAATCTGAAACTTTTTCTGACAGCTTCAGTAATTCAGACCTTTTAGAAAGAAATAAAAACTTAAAAAAGTGTGCCTCAAAGAAATAATGCTACAGTAAATTGAAAAATAGGTGTCTTTGTGTTACCAACACATATATAAATGACAAATTTATCTATATGACAGCTTTCCTTTTTTGATAAGTTCCCATTAAACTTGCAAAATAACAAGAGAACATATTACGTCAATTTAAGAAATTATGAATATTTAAGTTTAAATCGGAAGAAGCATAGAAGACTAAATATGAAAATGAACACATAACTACTAATTCACACTCGATGATGCAATTTTGAAAAACTATGAAAACCAATTTAATTTTTATAATATTATAAATGGAAAAATATAGAATAAAATGATAGTAATCTGTAAAGAAGATGAACATGAATAATAGTATCTCTACCTTGATTTCTATTTACTCATTAAAATGAATATTTAGTAGGCTCTTACTAGATGTCGATGAGATTCTAGGCACTTTCTACGGTTATGCCATGCAAATCTCACAACACCTGTGTGACTTATATACCATACACTCCTCGCTACACTTGACTGTGCCCGAGCCTCTGATATTATCCATTCTGTTCCACAGCCTGTAGTAACCATGGTAGCACTGGGTGCAAACTTTGTACACAAAATATACTGACATTATATGAGAATAAAAAAAGACAATATGCTACAAATAATTAATTTGAAGACAAAAATCAGCATCAAGATTTTATAATGATCATGATTTCAATATATAAATGAATAAATGCAATGCTTTTAAAAAATGTATGCTAGAAGTAGTATAGCAAACAGAAGTGACCTGACAGGCATATGTATTGCTCACATAAGTAAGGGCAGTGTTTTAATAGATTTTTTGAAATTTTATATTATGGAATGTTTCAAGATAACTTGGAATTTGTTGCTTTGTGCTAATTTAATGCTAATATCGAGAAGAATGCATTTTCAAAAACTTGAAACAAATGTTTTGTTAATAACATTTAAGTTGATATAAGAAAAAAGATAAGGTTGGCCAAATTATTAGATATTGCTTCAAAAATATTTATTTTTAAAATGACATTTTCCCATTTTTTGAAACTTTATTAGTTTTCTCAAATGAGAGACAATTACTGGGACAATTACTGTGGTCAAAAATAATTACCTTACTCTTGCAGAATTTTTATTTTTTCAGACCTCATCTATACAAAAAAGTACTTTTTCAGTGTATTTATAAAAAGAATTTGTTAATATAACTAAATAAAAATAACTTTATTGGTCATTGAACATTTTATTTCTATTTTTTAAAATATATCTTTATTGATTTCAGAGAGAGAAAGGGAGAGGGAGAGAGAGAGACAGAAACATCAATGATGAGAGAGTCATTGATCGGCTGCAACCCACAACCCGGGCATGTGCCCTCACCGGGAATCGAACCCNGAGAGAGAGAGACAGAAACATCAATGATGAGAGAGTCATTGATCGGCTGCAACCCACAACCCGGGCATGTGCCCTGACCGGGAATCGAACCCTGATAGCCTGGATCCTAGGTTGATGCTCAACCCCTGAGCTACACCTGGCTGAGCAGTCATTGAACATTTTAAAAATTAAGTAAATGATATACAGAAAGAATAGCACTTGAAAATTGCCCCTAATAATTTTGCTATTATTAGTTAGAGTCATTGGAATATGTTGGTAAAGTATAGCAACCAAATGATAGATAACAAAGAGTACCATAAAATCTGCTTGGAATAAAACAAAAAAATTTCCCAGTAGATTGCCATGCTACCTAAAATTCTAAAATGGCAATCGTAGACATAATTTCCTTAATAAGTTTTATTTTTTAACTATTTGTGCTGTAAAATGCAAACCAGAATGTTACAGTTAAAATTGTGTAGAGTCAAGAAATAGATGTTCCCATTATAGTCTTCTTGCTTAGTATTATAATCTATTAACTTATCAATTTTTAAATAAGCTTTTTATAGTTATAATTTTACATAATATTGAATTTTATAGATCTATTATATTTTTAACCATTTCTTTATTGTTGGATATTTTTATTTTGCTTTTCGCTTTTATAAATAACACAATTAACTTTTTTGTACAAAGTGGGTTTTTTACACAATATATTTTCATCATAAAATTATTTTGGGTTGTTTTGAATATGCCTCCCTCCACCCTTTAGGATATATTCTTAGAATGAGGATTATTGAATTTGTTTTATGAGATTTTTTAAAAGTTCTTGAGATCATTCCCAAATTTCTTTTTTTATTAAAAAAAAAAAAGACATTTTTGGAGTAGTTCTAGGTTCACAATTAAGTTGAACAGAAAGTACAGAGTTCCCAGGTACTCGTTGCCCCCACACAGGCATCGGCCTCCCCACTGTCAACATCCCCCACCACAGTGGCACCTTAGTTACAATTGACGAATCTACATTTACACATCATTATCACCCAAAGTCCACAATTTACATTAGAGTTTGCTCTTGTGCATTCTCTAGGTTTTAACAAATGTGTAATGACTGTATCCACCATTGTAATATCATACAGAATAGTTTCACTGCCCTAAAAATCCCCAGTGTTTCATCTATTCATTCTTTTTCCCTCCTAATCCCTGGCGCTGATGATCTTTTAACTGTCTCCATAGTTTTGCCCTTTTCAGAATGTTCTGTACTTAGAAACTTACAGTATGTAACCTTTTCAGATTTGCTTTTTCACTTAATAATATTCATTTGAGCTTCTTTGTTATTTCATGGCTTGGTAGCCCATTTCTTTGCAGTGCTGAATAATATTCCACTGTCTGGATGTGCCACAGTTTATTTATCCATCCACCTACTGAAAGACTTCTTGTTGCTTTCACGTCTTGGTAATTATGAATAAGGCTGCTATAAACATCTGTGTGTAGATTTTTGTGTAGGCATATGTTTTTAAGTTCTTTGGGTAAATATCAAGGTGTTCAGTTTCTGGATCATATGGTAAGAGTATGTTCAGTTTTGTAAGAAACTGCCAAATTGTCTTCCAAAGTGGCTATACCATTTTGTACTCCCATTAGCAATAAGTGAGAGTTCCTATTGCTCCACATCCTCATCAGCATTTGGTGTTGTCAATATTTTGGGTTTTAGCCATCTGGTAGGTATGCAGCGGTACCTCATTATTGTTTTAATTTGCAAATCCCTGATGGCAAATGATGCCGAGCATCTTTCATATATGTTTATTTGCCATCTGTATTTTTTCTTTAGTGAGGTGTCTGTTCAGATCGCTTGCCCATTTTTAAGTTGGGTTGCTAGTTTTCTTATCGTTGAGTTTTAAGAGTTATTTGTATATTTTGGTAACAATCCATTATCAGTTATGTCTTCTGCAAATATTTTCTCTCAGCCTGTGGCTTGTCTTCCAAATTGCTTTTTCAAATAATTTGTTCTGATTGTGATTTGGTTTCAAATATCAGAAACAAGTAGAGAAAAAAACAATTGTGTATTTTTAGGAGATACAGGGGTTTCTTGGAACTCACAGAAAAGGTCAGGCATAGGCAAAGACTGAATAAAAAGTGGAAAGCCATTTGCCACATCTCCCTGATTCTCTTACTCTTTCCCCTCCGTGTCCCTCTCTTTTCACACTTTCTGTAAAACTGCCTTCCTGATTCTCCATCTGTGCCACCTCGCAGATCTCTAGATCACACCTTAAGCTTTTAACCAGGCACAGAAATTACTTTGCTGCTTCTCAATCTGCATTTATGAGAGGAGCATTATGATTTGCTATGGCTGTTCACCAGCTATGGCTGTGGGTGTTTTTCCAGCATGGTCCCTGTCCACACTTGCAAATGAATTGGTTTGCACTGGAAGCATCCAGACGTTTGTAGACGATGAGAGATTGTCAAACCTGGGTTGAATGTTTGCCCCCCACCCCTTGTCCGTGTGTGCAGGAGGCAGCCAGTCGATACGTCTCTCTCACATCAATGTTTCTCTCTCAGGTGAGGATTAAAATGAATAAATAAAATATATGTACTAAATATATCAATATTCTTTCTTAATATTAATAATTAATATATATTAATTTTCCTTTTATAATTTTATGATTAAAATTTTTCTAATTTCTCGCTTGTATTTTAAATATATATTGGACATTGACATCCATAATATTTTATGTATGAGCTAAATATGTTGATATTTTATTCTCTCATCTAATGGGGTGTTGTTGTTTTCTGTTGTTTTACATTTTGTTATTTTGGAGCCTTAAAAATTTCCTCTTGAGATTTTTAAGCTGCCACATTCATTATGTTTCTAGAGTTTATTTACAATTGCTTAAATACTATTAAAAATGGTAGCCCAATCTGAAAACTGTCAGATAAAAGAAAACCCTACTTCAATTTAAGGTAATGAAAGAAAATGTAGCAGAAGTCTTGGTCAGGAATATTTATTAGTCTAGTTCATTCACTGTATCGCCTCTTCAATTAACCAAAGGATAATGTTTTAAAAATGCACTCCTTGACCCTGGCCGGGGTTGCTCAGTGGTTAGAGCGTGAGCCTGGGCACCGAAGGGTTACAGGTTTGATTCCCAGTCAAGGGCACATACTTAGCTTGCAGGTGAGTGGGGAACAGAAGGCAACCCATGGATGTGACTCTCTCAGTACACTGATGTTTCTCTCTCTCTCTTTCTCTCTGCCTCTCTCCCTTCCTCCCTCTCTCCCTTTGACTT